ACTGTACCATTTATCTTAACTTTCGAAATGAGTTATGAAGATTAGAGAATAGAATCAGTAAGAGAGATGATTCGTGTCGATGATTGTCGGTTTGAGTAGTGAGTAGTGAGCAGTGTGCGGTTCCCGTCGTCATGCGGGTGCCTTTAGTTGTCCTGCAACCCCCGCGGATCGCCTCTATGGCGTGTATTGCTTGTATGGCGACCGTCTCAGTTGGAATCGGTCGCAAAAATGAAGGGTCTTCACGGTCTCAATATTCAGCGACAACAAACACGGCAAAACAAACACTTTGTCATATGGTTTTATTGGTGGCCGACACAAAAGTCTCGATTCGAGACGCTCCGAGAGAATCCGTGCATTTTTTTCAAGAATCCGACGTCCGAATCGTCCTCTGTTGTTAACGACATAATGTTTACACCCATTTCGGTGGCTATGTTACACGACATGACAATTAACGCGATGCGTGACGGATTCCGTGACGACTCTGTTAAAAGTTTTCGTGTCACCGAAATTCGAACGGGTGATCCACCGATCGGTCCGGGGTAGGTAGAACTGGGCAGTAGAACGAAAGGCACTGTCTTCGTCTTGTATGTTTTTATTTTATTGAACCATCCATCCATCGTGTCGTTCTAATGCGCAGAACTGTGTCCGAGCAGTGTCGAACATAAAACTATAAAACTACCCCGAGATGGTACGTCTTCATCGGCGGCGGAGAGTTCTTAGAGGACTCATAAACTCATCGGGCAATATAAATATAAATTGCCCGGTAATATACATGATATGTGTCCTCTTGCTCGTAAAAACAGGATTTCGGTAATTTTTCAGTTTCGCACACAGAGGGACAGTAATGAAATAATTATTTATACGACTTCAGCTCAAGGTTAATAACCGAAGAATGTTTCCAAATTTGGGAAGTAGCGTTCTAGAGAAATATAATATGCAGTTAGACAATGCATTTACATAACGTATCTTTGCCGCGACTACCATACTTTAGCACAAAAGAATGTTTATGATGCGGTACGGACCTTTTATAACGCCAACTCCTTCAGGACATATGTTATCCAACGGGAAACCATATTTCATTTAACTAACATAAGTATCAATTGTAAAATTGATTCAATGTTTTGCGAATTGAGATAGGTACGATGCGTAAAAATCTATTTTTAAATCTACAACTCTGATGAAATAAAATACATATAATTATATTATATTATTCATACCCGAACGTTTAATCATTGGGTTAGTAATAGATATAGACATTTTTAAGTACTACCAAAAATTTGCAAATTTTTCATATGGAATAGGTATAGACTACGGATATTAAAAAAACAGTTGAAAATGGTATTTTGCAGTAAGGCAAGTTGCATAAAATGTGTATCAGTTGACTTAATAAACCTGATTAAGAGAAAACGTCGACGAAAAGTCAAAAAACGGCTCACATACACACAACACACACACTTACATACTTTTACCAAATTTGGTTTCATTCGATTCAGAATGGCTTAAAACATCGAGAAAACATAAAATTAGCAAATCGGATTTTGGACTAAAACAAACTTCTCTTTCGGGAAGTTTGTATTATTACTATAATAATTGTTAACACAGTATTTACAAAAACAATAGTATTAGCAGTTGCTACATAGTAAAAACTTGGTTTAGCAACCACTTCTTCCGTGTTCGGTACCCACTTCGGCCAGCTTGATATCAAGTCATAGTGATATCATACTGCAGATATCAGATGTGATATCAAGTGAAAATATTCTTCAAGGGCATTGCTGCTGAAGTAATTAAGTCAAAATAATAATTAAGATATAGAACTTGAAGGAACAGAACTGAATTGCATTCTTATAGTTATCTGTTAAATAACAAAACAATTACAGCATGTCATAATTACAGACATAAAGTGATGCAAATAAAAATTAATAAAACTCAAAATTATTCTAAAATAAAATCGACTCCTTACTCAAGCACAAAAAAACGAACGAGAAAATTTTGTAATAATGTTCAAAAATCTTTTATTTAATTTGATTTAGATCGTTGATAAATCAAACGTGTGATTAATATGATTTTCAAAATTTGTAAAGATATTCGAAATTTATAACTAAGGGTTTTAGCCTTGCAATCACAAGGTTTCTAGTTCAACCCCCACGCTCCATACAACCTGACATCAAGAAACAGTGATATCCGTTTTCATTTAAAAATATACAGTCAAATATATTTGCAAGCAAAAATTGGCGTGTATGTGTTAAGATTTTTATAACAATTTTGGCGTTGAAATGACGGCAATGAATCAAATAAACATGGAAAAGATTTTATAGTATTTTTATTATTAAACATATGATCCTATGTCATCTTCAATGGTAATTCAACCTCATGTAAAACTAATTAACTTGTAGAATAGTAACAAATACACAGCTAACGATAAGAAATATAATATGAATTTATTATGCTAAATTTTTTATTGTTTTTTATTTTTTATTAACTTTTAAAATTAAAAATTAAAATTAAAATAGCAATCAGAACAATTAACAATTCTATAAGCTATTGAGATGGATTGCGTTACTTTTAGCTTT